ATTTACCATCTTTAACCATACAGGGCATTACTATCAAATACGAGTCCGTTGTTACTAGCTTAGGGTTTAAATTAAATTCATACCTTGGATGTAAAGACCATATTAACTATATTCTAAGCAAAATCTACTTTATTTTAAGAAAATTATGGTACACAGCCGACTTCATTCCTTTAAATGTGAAACTGAAATTGGTGAGAATTCTCATAATTCCATTGATATCGTTTGGTGGGCTCTTGTATGGAAATATGGATTGTGAATCACAGAAAAAGCTGCAACTGGCTCCGAACAATTGTGCACGATATATCTTTTCGAAGCGCAAATTTGAGCACATATCGGAGTTTTCTTTTAAGATAATGGGCTGCAGTCTTACTAATTTCCTTAATTATCGCAACCTTGATTTCCTAAATCAATTAATTTATAAAATGCAACCATAATACCTCTTCAGAAATTTATGTTTCGCGAATTCAGACAGGACTTGCAACCTCATTGTTCCACGCTGTAAATATCTCTCGTCATCTAGAACGTTCTTTGTCAGTGCGATCAAACTATGGAACTCATTACCGAATGTCGTTAAAAATGAACGCAATACAGCGCGCTTTAAATTTGCCTTAATGGAGTTTTTTGCAATAGAAAACACACTTCTCTAACTCTGTTTACTTTAACTATATTTATAAATACTTATGCATGTATATGTTCTCCTACTTTATTTCTCACTAAATTAAATATCTATATATATAAAACAAAGTCATGTTAGTTACACCATTTATAACTCAAAAACGGCTGGACAGATTTTTATGATATTTGTTTCTTGAATTTGTCTACCTTCCGAATAGCAGAAGAACTATTAAAACAACCGCTAGGTGGCGCTGGAGTCGAGTTATTAGTAAAACCCGTATTTATGGTCCGATTCGCCTCATATTTGAGATGTGTATTGACAATAGGGAAAACAATACCACTGCAACAAAAAAAAGCCGCCAGATGGCGTAGGAGTCGAATGTTTACTAAAAATCGTGTTTGTGGTCCGATTCGCCTCATATTCGAGATATGTATTGACAATAGGGAAAACAATACCATTACAAAAAAGAGCCTCCAGGTGGCGATGGAGTCGAGTTATTACTAAAAATCGGGTTTATGGTCCGATTATCCTCAGATTCAAAATATGTATCGATAACAGGAATAATAATATGTATATGTAACTAAAAATCGTGTTTATGCTCGAATTTATTTCATTATCGTAATATGTATATGAATTCACATGCCGATGGTCCTCTGCAATAGCGACGCAACTCAAAATTAAAAAAAATTATATCCCTTTTTACTTTTAAGAGGCTCATGTCTCTAATCCTTGGCTAACCCATATCTAATCCTAACTAAAGGAAGTAGTGGAAGCGTTCATGGTAAAATTTTTCAACTTGGTAAGAAAATATAAATCAATCACATATTCATGGAGAAAAATTGGAGCTTTTGGATAAGGGGCGTGGCACCTCATATACAACCCAATTTTTCACACTGTATATCTCTGGAAATGTTCATGGTGGAGTACTGGAACTTGGTATGGAGGTACTATGTATATGAAATCAATCGCATACTCTTGAGAAAAATTTGAGCTATTGTAAAAGCGCGTGGGCCCTCCCATACAATACAAATTTTTCATACTGCATTTCTCTGGAAGTGTTCATGGTACAGCACTGGAACTGGGTGCGGAGATATATGAAATCAATCGCATACTCATGTGGAAAAATTCGGACTATTTGAAAAGGGAGCGTGGCACCTCCCATATAAACCGAATTTTCACCGAACACCGAAGGGTTCATGCTAGAGTACTGGAACTTGGTATGGGGATACTATGTGTATGAAATCAATCGCATACTCTTGAGAAAAATTGGAGAAATTTTTGAATTTGGTACGGAAATATATCAAATCAATCACATACTCATGGAGAAAAGTAGGCTCTTTGAAAAGAGGGCATGGCAAAGTACAAACGTACTGACTTTTCCTTATCTTTGAATGTGTATATAATACTCCTTTAGGTATGTTTGTGAGTGAAATCCTAAATGGATGGAGGGATTTCAAAAAAGTTGTGTGTGTGTGTTTGAGTGAGTCTCTGGATAGTTTAGTTTCACAATTTAACCCGCCAGTTGGCGCTGGAGTTGAGTTATTACTAAAAATCTTTTTTTTTTTAAGATCCGATTTGACGAATATTCAAAACATGTATTGGAAACGGTAAAGGAAGTCCAATTGCAAAAAAGTGATGTGAGGTGATGCTAAGCTCGAGTTATTACTAAAAACCGACAAGTGAGAAAAGGTGCCGTGAATGTCAGACTAAATCGACCTNCAACTTGGTAAGAAAATATAAATCAATCACATATTCATGGAGAAAAATTGGAGCTTTTGGATAAGGGGCGTGGCACCTCATATACAACCCAATTTTTCACACTGTATATCTCTGGAAATGTTCATGGTGGAGTACTGGAACTTGGTATGGAGGTACTATGTATATGAAATCAATCGCATACTCTTGAGAAAAATTTGAGCTATTGTAAAAGCGCGTGGGCCCTCCCATACAATACAAATTTTTCATACTGCATTTCTCTGGAAGTGTTCATGGTACAGCACTGGAACTGGGTGCGGAGATATATGAAATCAATCGCATACTCATGTGGAAAAATTCGGACTATTTGAAAAGGGAGCGTGGCACCTCCCATATAAACCGAATTTTCACCGAACACCGAAGGGTTCATGCTAGAGTACTGGAACTTGGTATGGGGATACTATGTGTATGAAATCAATCGCATACTCTTGAGAAAAATTGGAGAAATTTTTGAATTTGGTACGGAAATATATCAAATCAATCACATACTCATGGAGAAAAGTAGGCTCTTTGAAAAGAGGGCATGGCAAAGTACAAACGTACTGACTTTTCCTTATCTTTGAATGTGTATATAATACTCCTTTAGGTATGTTTGTGAGTGAAATCCTAAATGGATGGAGGGATTTCAAAAAAGTTGTGTGTGTGTGTTTGAGTGAGTCTCTGGATAGTTTAGTTTCACAATTTAACCCGCCAGTTGGCGCTGGAGTTGAGTTATTACTAAAAATCTTTTTTTTTTTAAGATCCGATTTGACGAATATTCAAAACATGTATTGGAAACGGTAAAGGAAGTCCAATTGCAAAAAAGTGATGTGAGGTGATGCTAAGCTCGAGTTATTACTAAAAACCGACAAGTGAGAAAAGGTGCCGTGAATGTCAGACTAAATCGACCTGTTGCACCATTGAGTATATCGAACTCTCGTGTAATACGATTGGCCTAATGGATGTGGTTTGCCAATATTATTATGCGTTAAAGCTTCATTCGGACATACCAGGGTTGATTTGTGCAGTGGTAAATCTCAAACCACTACCTGTCGAAATACCTTAAAAGCCAGTTTAATAAAAGCAATTTAATGAAGATTTATTTTTTTAATTGAATTTAACATAGAACCTGACAGAAAAAAATAATTTTTCACTTAAATTGCTTTTGTGAAACTGGCTTTTAAGGTATTTCATCTCAGTCTATACGCATCCATTTNTGGACATAACACTTTCGTTAGTTTATTTAAGGCGGCAAACGACCAGCAAACCATAATCTTAGCCGATAAATTTGGCAATGGAAATCATGGACTGTTGGAGAAAATGTTGGACCAAAACGATTAAATTAAAAATCTAATTATGGGCGGGACGAAGTTCGCCGGGTCGGCTAGTAAGATATAAATGATAATAATAGTTGTAACTAATGTATTTACTTATAATGAAATATTGAATTATACAAAGATATATTTCCAAATGTCGATGTACTTTAAGAGACAATAGTCTTACTTGTGCAAAATAAACTAAAATTGAAAATTGAATTGAAAATTTTTATCGAGCAGAAGGTGAGATGAGAGATTCGTTTTCCAATTATTTAAGAATTTTTAATTAAGCCCAATGTTGAAATTACCGCTAGCTCTTCTTCTGTCTTGAGCAAAAATTGTATAGCTGTACCGATTACTGGTAGTTCAATACAACAAAATATAAATTTCATTGATTCCGGACAGCTTCCGTCTAATGACCTGTCAAATGCTCTTTTCTACATTTCTGAACCAGGTCTATCCTGAATCTGTATGTAGCCTCGAATGCTTTCGCTTTATTATGAAGGTCCTCCTCTGAAATATAGTGCAGTCCTAAATTGGGATTATTCTCGCATTAAAGATGTTATTTCGTGTTTCCGGGAAGAAAATGCGTTTTTCTCGCCATTATGGGGTCACAAAGAACGCATTTTCTTCCATTGGACTGCATGAATAAAAATTAAGCAATTGCTTTTTATTGAAATTTAATATTTTTCATTGTAGAACGTAATAACAGAAACATTATAAAAGAAACATTGCACCTTGGAGAAAAATTGAACAACTTTCTGTCAAGTGTCGAAAGATAATTTCGCAAGCTTTTTCTTACATACCTACTAGAGCCGTTTCAAGTTCTGTTGTTTAAGATTTAGGTTTGGAGATCATACCCAGCACCTTAATAGTTTACCGTTGTATGGTTATCGCTTGCCAAAGTTTGTCCTCGCGGTATTAAGGAAACTCCTTTCAGACAAATCCAGCCCCAAACCCAGAAGTAATTATCTCAGTTAGAAATTCCGATACTAAAGCCGGTCCACACTCTAAGAAGGTAAATCTGTTCGAGAAAAACCTATTATGCTCCCGTCAAGGTCACCCTTCTCAGGTTTCCGCATGCTAGATTATATCCTGGTGCTGCCAAGATAAAAACACTACTTAGCACATGCACAAATTCAAGAAATTGTCTGCTAACGTCGTCCAAGATACTATGAGAGATAACCATTGCTAACAGAATCTTTCAAGAGCATAATGTACTCTCATATCTAGCATATCAGTAAGTACAATTTCTGTTACAGATGATTTAAGGTTGGAAAACATACCTAGCACCCTGATAGTTTTTACCATTGTATCGCAGTCGCTTGCCAGAGTTGGTCTTGGTGGTGACAAGGAAATCATTGTCAGCTATATGTAGCCTTTACCAGGATCAGTTGCCCAAGTTAAAGTGTTGATTGTTAGACCCAGCTCGAGAACTAAGAGAGACAACTTTTTTAAAGAGAAACTCTCCAGCTGCAGAAATAGAAATCTCGCATGAGTTCTTGCATGCTACAGGCAGTCTAACCGCTAATATCCAGTATATGGCTGTCACTTTCCAGAGATTGTCATGACAATTTGTAAGAAAAAAGTTACCAGCAACAGGATTGGCTTCTCCAAGTGGGACTTGAGTGGGACCAGTTCAGGTCTGGTAAAAAGTATCTCAATTAAGGAAATTTTCCCAAAACCAAAAGTGATTTTCTCAAAGGGAAACTATTATTCTGGGGCCCGTCCAGGCTTTTAGAAGATAAAATTGTTTCAGGACAACCTATCCTGTGCCCTTCAAGGTTACTCTTTTAAAGCTGTCGCATGAAAGATAGGGTGCATTCATAAATGCAAAGCATCAGTGTCTTTTAGTTCTAAACCGCATTTGGAGAAAAAGTCTAACTTGCGCAACCTAGTTGAAAACTAGCATCTAACCTAAGTTGCGCACATTTGCAATTGCAATCTACTTAGATTTAGAAATAAAAGAGACTGATGCTTTTTATTTTGACGTTTTGGAATGCAGCCATACTGTCCTGGTGCTGCCAACGTAAACGTACTATACGAAATCTAACTAGCACCTGTAGTGGGATTCACTACGCTATTTTAACTACACTTGTTATCGTTAAGTCAACTAAACGACAAATTTACCGATTTATCGATTCAGTAAACGTTTTGTAACAACACTCGCTAGCGTAAAATCAGCTGTTGTTGTTAAGTACACGTCGTCTAGTTTGGTGTTGCTAGCGAAAATAAAAAGTTCTCCAGTACATAAATAAATAATAAATATTATGAAAATATGTCGTTTGAATACGTCGGTTATAGTTTATCGGAACGTGAGCAGCAGTTAAACGTGTCGGGTGTAAATCGGCGTATGTTGCGAAGTGCGGACAACCCGTTTGAACTGGCTCCAACAGAGTTCCGGAAATTATACAGGCTAGGACCAAACTTGGCAGCCGATCTAGTTCAATGGTTGGAAATACATTTAAAAGGATCTAGAATAACTGCAATATCAGCTGAAAAGCAGGTTCGGCACTAGATATTTCGACTATCGACTGCACGCACATTTCTATTTTGGCTCCGAAAAATAATGAGGAGGCGTACGTTAATTACCATGGCTACCACTCATTGAATGTACAAATGGTAAGCAAATCCTAGTGAAGAACATTATTATTACATAATTACCACCGCGACATATATTTGGTATAGATATGCGACCCAAATTTGAAGATTTTAAACGTAAACGCAAAGTATCCGGGAGCACGACATGACTCCTATATTTCGAGCTCCTCTGCAGTGCGACAAGTCATGCAGCGAGCCTTTGAAAACGGAAACCGCAACATGTTTTTAATCGGTAATTCTTTTTGTTAATTTGTTTTAAAATGTTGTACTAAAAAAAGTTTATCTAAGGTGACTCTGGATATCCGTTAGAGCCATGGCTCATGACGCCTTTACCCAACCAGCCAGAAGGGTCTCCAAAATTTCGCTACAATGAAGCGCTCTGCAAGGCACGGAACCCTATTGAGCGACTTTTTGGCGTCCTTAAAGGAACTTGGCGATGCTTATCGCAACAAAGGGTTCTATTATATGACCCCGCTTTCGCTGGTAAAGTCGTCAACGCGTGTGCAGCTCTTCACAACCTTCGGTTGAGTGAACAGCAAATTAACGACCAGATTTATAATTTTTCTACAGACATTGAGGATTCAGACAGAATTTTCGGAAGCCCAAGTCCATCATCTTCCACTGCAAAACGCATACAAGAAAGATTAATAGCAAACTTGTTTTCTTAAAACTTTCCAAAGAAATTTTTTAACTATATTCCTAAAGAATTTTTAAAAATTAAAGTTTACAATCAAATATTTTTCAGTAGGTATATCATTTATTAAAAATGTAGATATCACCCGCTCTTATCCTCTTAATTTTATATTACAAACTTTAAAAAAAAGTTTTGACCTCTGCCATTTGATCCTCAGTTATTATGTACAATTTCCCCCCTGAATCAAAATATGTGGTCAGATGTGAAGAACGTCGAAACGTTTTCGATATATAGCAAAAATTCGGTTAAAGTGCGCTCACTTAATTTAGATTTTTTAGGACGTAGTTGACCAATTTCAATATTTCTTTTTATATTAGTGAAGCTTATTAAAAGAAATTTCGAAATTGGTCAACTGTGACCTAAAAATTTTAAATTAAGTGAGTGGACTTCTTCCAGACCTCAAATAACTGATATTTGGCTATATCTCGATATTTGGATTCAGGGGGGAAATTGCACATAAAAAATTGTGGTCAATTAAAGGAAAACATTTTAATGGATTGTTTATAATAAAGAGGAAAATGAAAACTCAAATAAAAGTTTATTAATACATTTCAAAACATAACCATACGACTTACACGGTGGTATAAATATCATGAGATAGACTTATTATTAATGAGTTTCTTATCAACCACAGCGACTGCATATGTACCCTTGTGGTCGGCTGATTAAGCTAAGTGACATTTTGAATAGTTTTGGCTGTTTTTCATTTGTTTATTTAATGTTTATATTTTTTTTTTATAAAAGTTTAACACCTTTCCTAGCGAGCACCACATAAATCCACATTTCAAATTTCGTACAAAGATTATGAAAATTCGACAAACTTTAACATTTGCATCCAAAAATTCTAAACTTTTTATTTAGAATTTTTATAAAATTTTTACGGATGCAGTTTTGTTGCTCATTAAATTCTAGGAGTTAAAGAGCAAACTTCAACACGCTAGAAAATCGCGTACTTCATTAATAAATAACTAAAATTAAGGAGAATATTTTAAACTAAGTGTTAAATAAAAATATTGAATTTAAAAATATTCAGTTACAATTGAAGAGAAAAATAAAATAAATACTAAAAAGTAATCCATTCAGTCTTGAGTTTAAAAATAAGTTATCAATTCAATTTGATTGATAATGGTATTGAGAATATTTATACATAGTTGACAATTGCAATTGGGGCCGGGCCGGCAACGATGCATGTTCGTAATCGAAATAAAATTGACGCAAAATGTAGTGAATATTCGCGAGTTGTCCACAAAGGCTAGAAATTATATTTTCACGTTTTTTTGTTGCAGAATGAACCAAAGTTTTATAAAAAATTAGCGGAAAAATATTAGAATAAAATTGTTTGCAAATATTGTGAAAAATTGTCTGTGACAATACTTTTTTCCAGCAGTGTAAATAAAAGTTTCAAAAATTCACAAATTACACAAAAATTAATCACACTTAAAAAAGTTTCATCAAAATTTCAAACTTTTCAATCAGAGTCTTAAGAAAAATTTTTAATTCTGATGAAAACTTTTTCAAGTTTGATTAATTTTTTTGTAATTTGTGCAATTTTTGAAACTTTTATTTATGTCGTTTCTTTTATAGATTGAATTAAAAATATAATGAGTATTATTAAAAATAAAGAAACAAAATATCATTTTGATTTCTGGTGCTACATCTTTGACTATAGCTGTATGCCAAAAAACTGCTACTAACTTAGCGTAAATTTTATTTCGACTATGAATATGCCCCATTGATTTTAAAAAATTTACTTAAAAAGAAAATGTTTTTTTGTTTTAAGTTGTTTAACGTTAAGGCCTCAGTAATTACACTGGTCTCCCGATAATTGGAACGCGACTTCTTTACAAGTTCTAACAAATTTATTTTTTCTTAATTAGTTTTAATTTATTTAAAAGAAAAACTTGGTCATATTATAACGAAATCCATATAAAACAAAGTTGTAAACCTTGTACAGGATTTATAAAAATTCGGTAAATTTAAATTTTCATAAATACTGTACAAGGTTTACTATTTTGTTTTATATGGATTTCGTTATAATATGACCAAGTTTTTCTTTTAAATAAATTAAAGTTAATTAAGAAAAAAAAATTTGTCAGAACTTAAAAAGAAGTCGCGTTTCTAATTTTCGGGCAACTAGAGTATATAATGTATTATATACTATAGCAAATTAAATAAATGGGACAAATTCATTTTCTTAACCTAATTTTTAACCTAAATTCCAGTAATGATGGAATATCTGTATCAAGGAAATACCATCTTTTAAGTAGATTTAAAAAAAATTATTGGGGACCGAGTGCCCTTGCCAAATTATTTATAGCATCGGCGCAGGCTTTCTGTCCTTCTCCATATACCCGGAGTTCCCCCGCCAGCTGGAATGGTACCTCCACCAGTCTGGAAAAGCTTTCCGCCAGCATCTACGTATTTAAAAAAATTATTAAAAATTGGAGAATCTTCTAATAACAAATTATTTACCTTCATTGCATCGGCTTGCGTTTGTGCAACTTCCAAAAACTTCTTTTCGGTTTCGCTCTGCTCCTCCTCTCTTTTCCTCTTCAGTGCCCTGCGCGGAGTTCTCATTGTAGGCGTTTTTGGAGTCTCCGGCCGCACTTCAGTTTTTACTTGGTCTTCGGACTCCACCGCTTCACCCTGAAAGACTATCTCCTCACCGTCTTCCAGGGCCAATTGAAGCTCCTAATAACAAGAAAGTGGTTAACAATGGGTCACAAATAATCCAGTTAAAACTTACCAAGTCAAATGGTACATTTTCTCCTACCGACTCGTGGCCCTCAATATAGTGGCTTCCAATAATGGCCACCACGCGCTCCTCCAGCTCCGTTAAAGGAGGCTGTTTCACGGGTCTGTTGCCGGTTGACGCCTGCTGCCTTTTCCGGTCTCGCACTCGAACACTAGTCCTACTTTTCAAATCGCGCCAGACCTACATATGAAAGAATGCACAAAAAGTATTATTAAAAATAAACATATAGAATATTCCATAGAATGTATGTGCATACATATGTATGTCCGTACACACAAAGAACGAGACTGTGCGCAGTAGCAATGCATGGGATCGACTCCACTGTTATGCACCACTTGTATGTAGATATGTATATACATATATGTTTGCAATAAAAGCGATATTATTAAGTTAACAACAAATGTTAGTATGTTTTCACAAATCACAGTTTTCCCGCACAGCACCGGTCTTTTCTTAGTGGGCTTATAACTTACCGTACGCCATTGGTCGATGGACTTTTCAGCTCCTCCGACGGCATTTAGCTTGGAAGCCATCTCCTCCCATTTCTTTTCATGTTCCAGCTTGCCATGCAGCCGATGAAACTTACCTCCGGCCAGCCCCGGAGTTTCTTGGAAGAAGTCTATCATTGCACTCAACTGCTCCGTTGAAGCGCGGTTCCGTTTAGTGGCTGCTTGGCTAGTTGAGGCCATCCTAAAATATAAAAAGAAAAAGTAAAAGTAATTAAATTATAAAGCACGATTATTTTTGCTTGAATTCATTACAATACTTACCTTTTCAAGAACAAACTATTAATTTCTTTGATTTTTTTTCAATTTCCTTTTGTGCTTTTCGCAGATTTGACATTTCGGATAACAGAGGTGCCACTTTTTATCAATTTACATAAATAGCGAAAGTCAGCTGTTTAGTGTCGTTAAAGATAAATTAGTGAATCGAACAATTGTTACTGCAAACAACACAAATATTTAACTAACAACTCGTAAAATCGCGTCGTTAAAAGTTAGTGAATTCCACTACTGAACTGGTTACCCAAGTTAAGATACTGCGTGGTAGTGCCAGTCTGGACACTACGAGAGATAACCGTTGTTAACAGAATCTGTTCAGTGTCAGAAGTGATTATCTCTGATTAATTTTATATGCTAGGGCTTGTCCAGTTTTTATTGGGTGAGAGTATTATTAAAAACTTATTAAGCGCCGGAGTAGATTATCTGTGGAAAAGATCTCTATGCCCGAATCTGTTTTGGCACTTTCGAGAAAACCTCAGTTACAGAGATCTAGCCACGGTCTAGACGTGTTATTGTTATTGTTTTTTTTTGCGTTATGTTGATTTTCACGACATTCATACTGGATATCGAAGAAAATTTTCGAACGTTTATTGGGTAATTTTTTAATATAATTGAAAGAACGAAATTTGTATGTAATTTTAGAAAATATTTTACTTAAAACAAGTTTTCAACCAGTCGATACTTTTTGGAGCTCCCGATACTTACTCAGTACTTGTCAAAAAGTATCGAGTTCTCGATATTACTCAGTACTCAAGAAAAGTTACGATATTCAGTACTCGGTACTCGTATCGTCCTATCACTAGCTCCCTTGAAATGCATGTGTTCGGCTCAAAATTTCAGGGCGAGACGATAACGTAACCATGATTGGACGAAGAGTGTGCAGATAGCATTGCTTCCTGCCATCCCTTCGTTGATTTCATTGGAGGCCCGTTGCTTTTTAACATTTCCATTAATTTGCTCTATAACTCCTTTTTCTTCTCGCAGCCATTGCTTACGCACTGCAAACTGTTTTTAGCTAAAGCGTCTTGCTGCTCCATAGATTCTGTCAGCTTCAGTTGAGCAGCGTGCGTTTGTTGACTCCTAAATAAATAAAAAACATTTAAAATTACAGAAAAATTAAAAATGTTCACTTATATTTTAGTTGAGGTTGACAGCTGCGAAACGCAAAACGAGAGCAAAAGTTCTGTCGAACAGTTTCTATCGAATGCTCGATACAGCACGATACTTCGATATACGTTTTTGCTTGATATTGAATTACAGAAAGCCACCCCTGGTTTGCGTTGTAAATTAAATTCCATGCGAGGACGAGTGTGTTGTGCTAAGCGTGGGTATAATGCATTGCTCACTCCATGTTAGCAGCGCATCGGTCGATCTGCACTGCGGCTGCTGGGCGTCCATGATAATTCAGTCGTTGTCAGAGAACAGCTTTGAGTATGATCGAGCCTTTTTGATCACACTCACTAAAAATCAAGCACAAGCGAACGCCACACTCGGCTACTATGTGTTCGATCGAGATGCATACCCGACAGCTGCTTTGGTTACGAACGTGT